GCTCGTGAGTAGCAAACCTGGGCTGCAAACCCAGGGCTGACTCCAAAGGACATGCTCTTTCCCCTGTATCTCACAGCTCAGAAAACTCATTTGCCATGGGGACCAGAGAGGTGCGTGTCATTTTGCACATGGAGGCATATGCATCCCATGAGGCTTCGCTGGGCCTAACTTCCCCAACTTGGTATCCTAATGTCCAGAGCTGGGCCCTTTTGTTAACACAACTACAGTGTCTGTGAGGGATCAGTTCTGTTAGGATGGCCAGGGAACACATCAGGGTTTGTTTTCTTTTTAGCGTATGCCCAATTTTATTTTAAATGCTTAAGTTCTTATTTTGAAATAATTTTAGACTTACATAATACGCCACAAAATTCCTTCACTGGGCTTCCTCTAACGTTATCATCTTATATAACCATTGCACAACTACCTAAACCAGGAAATTAACATTGATACAATACTATTAATCAACCCACAGACCTAATTTGAATTTGGTCAGTTTTCCCACCAATATCCTTCCTCTAGTCAACAAATCAGTTTAGACTGAGTTTAGTGTCCATTACGGTGGCAGGTCCCCGAACCCAGGCTAGCATGAAGAATAGTAACTATACACCCAGCCCTGGTGGCAGCCCCTGTTTGAGTGACCCCTATAGATAAGGCCCAGGCAGCACTCACCAGCACTAGCCAGGCCACACAGAGATAAGCAGACTCCTACAAAGATATGCCAGGTTGGGTCTGAGACAAGTGGGGCAGGGACCCCTGGGCTTCAGAACAATCTTGAACCGCAAAGAACTCAGGAGTTCGCTTGGTTTACAGGTAAGAGCCAGGCAAACCGCCTGTCCTCTTTCATGTGGAAACTGGAGGGAATAGTGCCTTCCTCAGTTATCGTGGAGATTAGAGACATTTGTAATGTGCCCAACATTCAATACGTAAAAGCTCCTTCCGTCCTGTCTCAGACAGTGCGACCTAACAAACTCTACTGTTAGAATGTAACCAGTTAATGGGGAGAAATTACCACTGAAGAGAAATTCTTGGAAAAGGAGATGAAGGGATTCAAAATATTCTTTTATTTACCTATGTTGGTCTCACCTTGTCTCAAAAAGGATTTAAGGGGGTTGAAGCTTTTAGAACAGTAGTAAAGAGTGAAGGTAACTGCTCCCATGGGCCAGTCACTTCAACAGGCCTCAGTTCTTTCTCCTATAAATGGGAACAACCCTTGCCATCTCTACCAGGAGGGTCAGGGTGGTGAAGGCAAGGATTTCTGGAGGGGAAGTGGGCAAAGGCTCCTCCCTAGTTCCCCCGTCTCAAACACCTAACCACACGACACAATATATGTGTCAGGGACACAGAAACTGGCTCTGAAACGAGCCGAGAAACACTCGGAGAATCATATACTAAGTGCCCAACTACCCAAAGAGACTCCTTGGAAGGTGCCACAAGAGGGTACTTCCAGAGAGAGAAAAGAGTGACAAGAACAAGAGGGAAGGAGCAGCTAGAGAAGATCAAGGATGGAGCAGGGAAGAGGAGAGGGAGAGATTGGGAAGACCATACCATCCTTCAGTTTCTCGTCCTGGGGGAAGGGCCCATCTGGGAGCACATCTGCAGCAATGAGCACTGTCCGGGAGTCCTCCAGCACCTGAGGGAACCCCACCTGGGCTGAGTGGCTTTGAAAAGGTCTTCCCAGACCGGCCCCAGCCCCATTTACTTCAACCCTACTTCAAATCTTCTGTGAGGGGCTTCCCTGGTGGCGCAGTGGTTAAGAACCTGCCTGCCAACGCAGTGGACACGGGTTCGAGCCCTGGTCCGGGAAGATCCCACATGCCGCGGAGCAACTAAGCCCGTGCGCCACAACTACTAAGCCTGCGCTCTAGAGCCCACGAGCCACAACTACTGAGCCCGCGTGCCACAACTACTGAAGACTGTGCTCTAGAGCCCGTGCTCTGCAACAAGAGAAGCCACCGCAATGAGAAGCCTGTGCACTGCAATGAAGAACAGCCCCTGCTCGCTGCAACTAGAGAAAGACCGCGCATAGCAACGAAGACCCAACACACTCCAAAATAAATAAATAAATAATAAAATAAATTAATTATATATATAAAAAAAATCTTCTGTGCATGCGCTTCCCCCTCATTGAACACCATCCCCTTGGGGAACTCCTACGCATCCATCAGTGCACAGATCAAAGACCAGGCCTGCCATGAGCTGCCCCCTGCCTGCATGCACCTTAAAGAGCCCCTTGAGCATGACATCAAGGATCTTGTACTGCTGGTGGACATCATTCAGCTGTGCTAGGTTTTTCAGCGCCAACAGCTGCTCCCGCCGCTTCACCTCAAACATCTTCTTGTCTGAGCAGCATTAAGTTAAGGAACTGGCACCAGTTCTCCTGCCTGGATAATCCAGTGGTCCCGATCGAGAGGGCCCACCCTGGCCAGCAAGTCTCTGCCAGGCGCATAGATGTGCATGCCTGGGACTCCCCAGGGAACGAATACACTCTCTGAGAAGCATATGAATCCTGCAACATATCATTCATCCACTTCACAGAGGATTCCACACCCGACAACCTGAATACAACCCTCAGGACCTGGCTCCTGCCCTCCCCTCCCCGTGGTCTTTCCCCAGTCTCCCACAGCCACTTACTGCTCCCAGAACCTCTACCCCTCTGCTCACACTGTATACTCTGCCTGGGGTGCCCCCCACCCTTCTCTATGAGTTTCTATTCTTTCAAGACCCAGCCCTTGGGTAGGCAGCCCAGTATACCAGGGCTTGGTCTCCAGCCAGGGTCTCACCCAAAAAGAATGAGGCACATGTACAATCCTCAAGAGTCCTCATGGCTCTGAGATATATGCCTTGCCTTCTCAATTTAACATATGGGGAAACTGAGGTTCAGAACAGAACTGGCTTGATCAAGGTCTGGTTAGAGCACCTTACTTTTTCTCCCCTGTTCCTATTAGGGGGTTCTGCTCCATCCCTGGAATCTCCCAAGGGGTTGTGGGTATAGAGAAACTTCATTTATAGACCCCTCAAAAACACCTCCAATCCCAAAGGATACAGATCTCCAGGCTCGGGTCCAGGGAGGTCCTCAGGGTGTCTGTGACTCCTGTCCCAGACAGTAGCAGGACAGAGAGGAAGGCCAGGAACTGAAGAAGGTCCATATCCAAGACTCTGGAGCTAGGGGAGTAACCCAGAGACAGAAGGTGAGACCCAGAGCTTGGTGTTATATGAAACAGAAAGTCAGTTGAACAGCAACTTCCCCTGATAATGACACAGCCTCCAAATACCAAGAACCCAGCTTTGGGAAGCCCTGGAGCCCCAGTTCCTAGCCCAGGGCCAGTGACCAACAGACACAAAATAAAGACATGGGATGATAGGAGGGAGGAAGAAAGATAAAGTCAGCAAGGCAGGGATACTTAGAGAACAGGGATCAACGCCTGGAACCCTGCACTGGAGCTCTGGCTCTGCCTGACTTCGGGACCTCGGGCAAATTGCTCAGCCTCTCTGAGCTTCATCTTCCTCACTGCAAAATGCGGATAAGGAAGTCATCTCCCTGTTGCAGAGACAGAAGGCTGGGTGAGGCACTGTGCCTGAGGAAGGAGGGCCTGGTCAATATCATTGCCTCTCAATTCCCCATCCTGGCCTCTCAGGAGGCCCAGGCAGTCAGAGATGTGAAACTTCTGGGGCTTCCCACCTTTCCTGACTTCTGTCATCAGAAAGGAAGAAGGGGTGCAGGCTGGGAAGGGAGGCAAGACAGTCTTGGGATAAGACGGCTGTTATTCTCTTAGGAACCACAGGCACCACAAGCAACACCTGTTCCTATCTAGGCCACATTCCCCAATTACCTACTGAGTACCTGTCACGTTCCAAGCACTGTTCTAGAGCCGGGAATACGGCAGTGACAAACAAAATTCCCTGCACACTGGTACTTTCATCCCTAGTAGGGTTAAGAGAAACCAATGAAGTTGTAAAACAAGCACAGAAAGATAAGAGGGAGTCAGCAAAGTGCAATCTTAAATACAGTAGTCAGAGGCAGCCTCTACTCAGATGATAGCTGCCCAATTTTACCAACGTGGAGACCAAAGCACAGAAAAAGGAGGAGACTGCCCAAAGTCACTCATGGGTTCTCAGGCTAAACCAAGAGTCTTAATGAGCACTGGCTATCTCAGAGCTGGCCACTGTTGTATTAGGACACCTAGGTGTGTCCCAGAGATGCTCAGTTATTGACAGTGAGACCCCACACAGATCAACCAGAGAACCGCCCCCACCCCACGCTGATGAGACAACTGAAGCCTAGAGAATGGGAAGAAACAGTTCAAGCTCACCCAGAACCCTTACCTTCCACCGTCACGCTCCAGACTCAAGGGAACCAAACACTGGTTAAGGCAGAACTTGGGGTCAGGGGAAATCAGACAGCCGGTAATGACTGAAGCAGGAAGAAGTGGGAAAAGAAAGCCGAAAAAGCGGACTGCGTGGGGCAGATCCTGCTGTCTCTACTGTTACTCCCACTTCTCCGCCTCTCAATCCCGCTCCCTGCCCCATGAGTCCCGAGCTCTTCCCGGCTGGGCGTACGACTCCGAGGCCATTCTGCAGAGGTGGCTTGGTGGTGGATCCTGAGCCGGCAACCCGGGCTCGGAGACCAGGGTCGCTGCCCCTAGCCTTTAGAGCTCCGGGAAGAGAAAGTCTTTCTAATGAGAAGAGGCGTCCGGGTCCGCGAATCCCAACCCCCACCCTGTGCAGCCAGTTCTGGGCCCTCGGTCCCTCCCCCGCCCCACCCCCCAACGGGAGCCTGCCCGCCCGGCGCCCCCGCCCCCACCTACCAGGCCGGGCGGGTGGGTGAGCGGGCGGACAGGAGTCAGCGTGCACCTCGCCTCGAGGGTCCGCAGACGACCGGCAGAGGCGCAGAACCTCACAGTGCCCCAGAGAAGCCTCGCAGGAACTGCCAAGCGCCGCCCCCGCCCAAAGATCGCGGGCCGCGACTGCCGCTCCTTGACCTAACTTCCGGCCCCGCCCAGTAGGCGCCAGCGCTAGCCCTGCCCGAGGTCCATGGGAGTTCGGTCCCTCCCACCCTGCGTGGCGGCTTGCGCACTTGCCGCGTTAAGGTGTGGCTGGAGGGTCAGCCTGCGGTGTGTGTCGGACGCATCAGCAATGAGGCCCTGACCCCTGCAGGCTGGGCGGCCTCCCCAGCGCCCTCCCCGAAACTGTTTCGTTAGGTGAGTGTTTTATTTTTTTTTTTTTAATATTTATTTGGCTGCACCGGGTCTTAGCTGCGGCGCGTGGGATGTTTAGTTGCATGTGAGAATCTACTTCCCTGACCAGGGATCAAACCCCGGCGCCCTGCATTGGGAGCGGGGAGTCTTAGACACTGGACCACCAGGGCGGTACCAGCTGAGTGTTTTTTAAACTGAAGTTGTCAAGATCAGTTTAGTGGGTCGTGGCTAACACTTTTTTCTTTTTAAGTAACGTGCAGTGCAGAGTTGGGGCATACCCTGCTCGCCCCTCGGATCCACCAAGTTCTAACCCAAGTTCGTGGGGTCCTTCCCTGTCCTATCATTAGGACGGAGTTCAGCCCAGTTTTGCGTAGGGTCAGTCCAGCCAGACCCAAGGGCTAGCCAAGTACAGGCACCGGGGCCCTGGCAGACAGGCAGGAAGGGAGTTAAAGGCCCTGGTGAGCTGAGCTCAGAACACGTGCGGGCAGTTGTGGAGGGCAGACATTGAAAGACGTGTGTGCACAAATACACGCTCTGAGGAGGGCCGGGAGAGAAAGGAACACAGGGGACCTACTTTAGCCAGGGAAGAGCTGAGCTGGGCAGTTTCCCTCAGCTAGGAAGGCTGAGGTTTTGACCTGCTCACCTTCCTTGCCTGGAAATTGTACCTCTCTCCACTTTCACCTGAGGTGAAGCAGCAGGTAAAGTACTTCCCAGAGCACTTGGACCACAGCAGCACCAAACACATGGCCTTTCTCTGCCCCTTCTGCCCCAAGGATGGCCTGACTGACGTCTTCAACTGAGGTAACCAGCTGGTGTTAGCAGAACAAATCCCTCCCCTTCTCTCCCTGAGGCCATCCATCCTGGCTGAGGAACCAGCTGGAGGGAGCCAAGGTAAGTCCAAAGGGAAATGTTTTTGGAGAGCCCACACAGGCATGTGAGTATATCACTATTTCCTATTTCAACAATGGAGTAAATGGCTCCAGATGCACGGCTGCAGTTGTCATCCATTTCCCCCAAACCAGTGTGCCCTGACTTTGTCTTCTCCAGGTCTCAGTTCTGTTTCTGGGCCTTCAGGTCCTGAGATCAGTCTCTGATGTGGGACAGGGATACAGCCACTCCTCCCAGGCAGCTGGCAGCAAACATGAGAGGAGAACAGCAGAGAGGTGGGGCCAGCCATGGGAGAACCACACTTCCAGGGCCCAAAAAGGCAAAAACAGACAAGAGCAGAGGTGCACCTGAGAAGAGCGGGATGGATTCTAAAACTGGGACCTGAACACCTGGGCTGGGTAGTTGCTATACATCAGGGAACGTTCCATGGAAAGGGTTAGGAGGAGAGCCAGGGAGGCCACACACACACCTCCAGACCACAGGGTCTCTGGAGCACCCCAACAACCCCTCAGAGGGCCAGTGAGCACTGCCACAGCCCCAGGCTTTCTCAGGGATCTGCCAGTCACCCAGCACCCTCCCCCACCGTGTTGTGCTTAGGGCAGCATCTATGCCAACCGGGCTTGGGCAACTTTCTCCAAAGCTCCTGGGGAAGGACTAGCTCCCTTCTGAGTCTGGTGATATGACTTTGGAGATGGTCATGTCTGGGGTCAGATCCTGATGCTATCACTGTGTGATTCTGGGCACGTCATTTAACCTCTCTGAGCTAAGTTACAACTGTGTTAACACATGTAGCTACTGTGAGGATTAGATACAGTGCATGTAACATGACTGGCCCTCGGTAGGAACTTAATAAACAGAGCAAGTCATTGTCATTGCTACCACTGTTAATTCTTCTCGCTGACCCCTGCTTGCTGTAGGAGACAGGGCTGTAGACAGTGCAACTCTCTGTCCTGAAGCATGACGCTATAGCTTCCCATTACCTGGGTGACCCTGCTCAGGCCAAAGCTCCCAGATGCAAGAAAGGATACATCATGTCCTGTAGGGGTGGCTGGGCCGTGGAGGCCCTGGGGGAAAGACCCTCCAAGGAGGCCTGCAGGGTCTGGGCCATGCTATGATCAGCCAGGAGGCCCATGCTCTGGACCTGCGGGGAGAAGAGGGTAGGGAAGACAGGCTTTCTCAGTGCCCACTCCATAGAGGCCCTCTCTACCCTCCACCCCCTGCACTCCTAACCTCCCATTGGCTGCTGTGGCTAGAGCTCCCCACCTCCACAGGGAAGATGATACAGAGGGTCTGGGCTCACAGTGGCTAAATAGCATCCCCTTTCCACCCACCTGCAGAAAGAAGCCACGCAGAGCCTGGAGTGTGGTGCTGGAGAGGGTAGAGAAGTCAGCCAAAGCTGCGCCTTGCAGAACATGGCCCACCTCTTCACGAGAGAGGATGCTGCTGCTCCGGAACCGCACAAACTGGCCCAGGGAGAGAAGGCCCAAACATGTAGTGATTCGGCATCTCCTTCATTCACAGGTATTTGCTGTGCCCTGCCGGGCTCAGCACTGGGCTGGGGGCATGGATCTGAAGCCCACAGAACTCTGCCTTCAAGAGCTCAGTGTTGGTAGGCAGGGGTGGGGTTGTGTCACAGGAGGGTGAGGTAATGAGGAGGATTGCAAGACCCTGAGAGTTTGCTCTGCTGACCCCTTCAGTCCCGCCACTCGTACCGTGCCCCTCACACTAGACTATGTGTGGTTACCCAGACACACCACCACATTCTCGTATATCTGCTGTTCTCACTTCAATACTGTACCTGCAATACTTTTCCTTCTCTTTGCCTATTAATCCTTCAAGCCTCAGCTAAAATGTTACCTTCACTGCTGAATGTTTTCATTTTATTTAAGAAATACAGGCATTAACTGGGTGCTTACTATATTCTTACTCACTTCTCCCTCACAGCTCTGGCAGAAGCAATTACTCTTTCTCGGGTTCCTACACCAACCATTGATTTATTCATTGATCCACTTTACTATCATTCACAGGCTTGCTGCCTTGTTTTTTCAGTGGGCACTTACCATGTTCTAGGCACTTAGCATTATCTTCTACTCTTCCATTAATAACCATATTTTAACTATGAATTTCCTTGTCTATCTCCTTCTCTAGACTGAGGGACCTTTAAGGAAGAACATTTGGCTCACTGACATCTTTGGTACCTAGCACAGGATCTGGCAGGTGGTGGGCAGGCCTGGTCAATGTTTCATGAGTGAATGAGAAAAAATGTCTGGGTAGTCTGGGCAAAGGAGATGTGGGCATTCAGAGGAATTCTCTAGGCAGGCTTCTTGTAGGGTGAAGGCTCATCCAGCCCCTCTACCTTCTTGGAGGATGGCATTCTTCAGACCACAGGACCATCCTTTCTGCACTTACCAGGGTCATGAGCCTCAAGATCTCAGCTCTGAGGAAGGAATTCTCTCCAGCATCCAGGAGGGTAAATAGCAAAAACCGATTCCAGGGCTGGGAGGCCACATGGAGTGCTATGGGAAACACCAGTCAACCGTGTGTTATTAATGCTGCTTTTCCAAAGGCCTTGGAACATTGCTAAAGAAAACTTTCTCCTATTGGCTCAAAAAAGGGTTGCTCAGCAAAGGCAGGGCATTGGACAAGCTGACCCCGGGGCGTTTCTTTCTCCTGGGCTTCTATCCACCCATGCTGCCTGGCACAGGGAGACCACATATCCCACTATTGTGGGAGGCAGGCAACAGGAAGAGCTCTGCCACTTAAGAGCTATGGGACCTTGGTTGGGGCAAGTTGCTTAACCTCCCTGAACCTCGGTGTCCTCATCTGTATGATGGGCATGGCAGTGCCCTTGCAGTATTGTTAAAAGAATTAAACAAAATGAGTGTGAATCAGGGAGCTCCCTGGTGGCCTAATGGTTAGGATTCTGGGCTTTCACTGCCATGGCCTGGGTTCAATCCCTGGTTGGGGAACTGAGATCCTGCAAGCCACATGGCTCGGCCAAAAAAAATGAGTGTGAATCACAGAACAGAGGATGGGAGTCTGGGGTGGGAGGGTGGCAGGTGCTGGCCCCGTCCAATCTCCCCCATGGGAACATCAGAGAATGGGGAGGGTTTCTACCGACGTCTGGACTCCGGGCATGCAGGTAGTCAAGCAAGGCCTCCAGGCAGCCGACACAGGCGTGGGACAACAGAGGGTCCTTCTGCAAGAAAACAACAAAAACAAAAACCCCACAGAAGTTTACGTCCGGTTTTGCTACCAGTGGATTTTGGTGCCAACCAAGAAAAAAACATTTGGTTTTCAAAACAATTTAGATTTCAGAATTTCAGATTTGGGATTGTGGCTCTGTAGATAATCAAGAAATGTTTGTTGGTTTCATCTCTCACCCACACACACAAAGCACGGTGCTTATACTGATGATTTACCTACATCTGAGAGACTGTTTTGCTTCAGAAAAGGATGCGCCCTGGGCCCCGTTAAGAGATTCACAGATTACAGATTCTGTAAGAGCCACACAGTTTATCTAAGCCAATGCATGTAAATCTTTTTGTAAAGCAGCAGAACCTTTCATCAAACAAAATTTTATGCTCTAATAAGCATAAGAAAAGAACTTAGGGTTAGGGAGATGCAAATTAAAACCACCTTGAGATACCACTACACACTCATCAACAGCTAAAACTGACAGTACCAAGTGTTGGCAAGAATGTGAAGCAACTGGAACTCTCATGCACTCCTGATGGGAAGGAAAAATGGTGCAGCCACTGATGGCAGTCTGATGGCATTTTTTTTTTTTTAATTAATTTATTTATTTGGCTGTGTTCGGTTGTCATTGCTGCACACGGGCTTTCTCCAGTTGCGGCGAGCAGGGGCCACTCCTCATTGTGGTGCACAGGCTTCTCATTGTGGTGGCTTCTCTTATTACGGAGCATGGGCTCTAGGCGCGCAGACTTCAGTAGTTGTGGCACGCAGGCTCAGTAGTTGTGGCTCATGGGCTCTAGAGCTCAGGCTCAGCAGCTGTGGTGACAGGCTCTGTTGCTCCGTGGCATGTGGTTCTTCCCAGACCAAGGATCGAACCCATGTCCCCTGCATTGACAGGAGGATTCCCAACCACTGTGCCACCAGGGAAGTCCCAGTCTGATGGTTTCTTATAAAGTTAAACATACACTTACCATACGTGGTAGGCAGAATTTTAAGATGGTCCCATGACCTTTGCTCCCAGATGTTATTCCCGTGATTAGGTTACATTACATGGCAAAAGGGAGATTGTTTGGGTGGGCCAAATCTAATTACACCAGTCCTTTAAAAGCAGAGTTTTCTCTGGCTGGTAGCAGAAAAAGAACCAGAGAGTCCAGAAGTGTGAGAAGGACTCAACATGCATTGCTGGTTTGAAGATGGAGGGGCTGTGTGAGAAAAAATGTGTGTAGCCTTAAAGAGCTGAAAGACCCACCCACCCCCAACAGGAGGATGAAGTAGATTCTTTCCCAGCTCTCCCAAATAAGCACCCAGCCTGACCAATACCTTGATTTCAGCTTTGTGAGACCCTAAGCAAAGAACCTGGTCAAGCCCACCCAGACTTCTGACGTAGAGAACTGTCAGATAATAAATGGGTGTTGTGTTAAGCCATTACATTTGTGATATGTGGTTACACAGCAATAGAAAACTAATATGTCATTTGACCCACCAATCCCACTCCTAGATATTTATCCAAGAGAAATAAAAATGGATATTCACAAAGACTTGTACTCCAGTCTTTATTCATGATAGCCAAAAATCTTTAAGTCCCAAATATCTGTCAGTAGGTGAGTGGATCAACAAATTGTGGAATAGCCACATAAGGGGCTACTACTCACCAATAAAAAGAAATGAAGTACTGATAACACAACAATATAAATGAATCTCAAAAGCATTAAGCTAAGTGAAAGAAGATAGACACATAAGACCACATACTTTATGATTTTATTTATGTGGAATTCTAGAAATGGTAAAACTAGTGCCAGAAAGCAGATCTGTGTTTGCCAAGGGTCAGGGAAGGGGAGAGGGGACTGACTAAACAGGGGTCCAAGGGAACTTTTTGTGGTGATGGAAATCTATACCAGGATTGTGGTGGTGTTTACAAAACTGTATATGTTTGTCAGAACTCATCTACTTGTACATTTAAAATCAGTGAATTTTATTGCATGTAAGTTATATCTCAATAAAACTGATTTTTTAAAATGTAAAGACAAACTAACAACACCAACAAAAATCCTATGCTCTCATGCTATTCTTTGGAAGGCAGCAACCTGGAGGTTAAGGTATGGGGCAGACTTGGGTTTGAAGCCTTGCTTGGTCACTTACCATCTGTGTGATCCTGGCCAAGGTTACCTGATTTTGCTAAGTGGGGATAAAAGGATTACTTGGGCTGCCGAGAGGGTAAGATGAGCAATGCATACAGAGGGTTTAACCAGTGCTTGGCACAGAGTTAACACTCAAAAAATGGTGACTATACTGAAGGAGAAAAAAAAAAGAAATCAGTTGGAAATTAATCCCAGGCAATGACTTGTTTATTTATGTATTTATACTATACAGGTAAATCATAGGATAAATATTCTTCCCACTGTTTAAGATTGTACTAAGATCCTATACTAAAATAATTCTGTTATATTTTTTTTAAAAATGGTGACTATCTTAGTGAAACGTATAATAGGGGAAACACTCTCGCTCTTTAACAACCCCTAAGTCTCCTTCACAGGATCTGTAAGGTCTTTAAGACCTACAGTTTGAAGTGGTTGAGCTAATTCACTAACCTCATTTTACAGTTGAGGAAACTGAGGCCCAGAGAGAAAATACTTGACCTGAGGACACCTGAGTGGTAGGTGGCAGGTCTAGAAACAAATCCTAAGCCTTGTGCCCTTTCTCCTTCTCTAATCTAAAATTAACTCTTAACCAGTGGGCACTTCCACCCTTTTCCCAGGTACCTAAGATTAGCCAGTTCAAAAGTAATCTCTCCTGTGGAGCCTTCCTTGATTCAAATAATAGGTCATTTTGCCATTAATTATAATTTCTTGTGTTTCCTACAATCTGAGTGCTTAAATGGCTGAAATGGCATCATATTCATTTCTGCGTCCTCATTCACTCATTCAACAAACATTACTGAATGCCAATTCTGTGGGAGGCTTTATGCTGGGTATTGAGTATAAGGGAATCATTTTCCCACTCTCTGTTTTGAATATTAAAACAGGAACTTCAGCCCTTTCAGAAACATTGGAGAGAAAGCATTTGCCCTTCCTCCCGCCTCTAACTGGCTTCTCCTCACCCAACGAGAGATTTATCTAACAAGTGAGATGCTAGCTTAACACCTACTGAGCCATCAGGGCAGAACTAAGGTATTAAAGGTCATGCTCCCATGAACTCAGACTCTTAAGATCTTGGCCAGCTGGCTAAGTGTCCAACATGGACATTATGGAAATGCAAACACAATTTACCTGCCTATGGGCTCCGGGTCTGGCCCAAGGGAAGGAGGGTAGTTAAAAAATCCTTTTGGATAAGATATGATAAAGCAAGCATAGTAAAATGTTAATGGTAGAATGTACATGGTGGGTATATGAGTGTTCACTGTAAAATTCTTTCGTCTTTGCTGTATGTTTGAAAAATCTCAGACTAAAAAAAAGCCCGTTCTGACCTTAAGTCCCAGCTACATTCTACTATGGTGTTTGTCAGCAATAAAGCCGATGCTTTGGTTCTCATTTGATTCGTGATTTCCCAACTGGATTTGAACCCACAAGGGGAAGGAGACACAAAGATTAACCAGACACAGTCCCTACCTTTGAGGAGCTCACAGCCTGGGGAAGACCGATATGAAAATGGGAACTCACAACAGAGAGAGATAAGTGCTATACATGATAGAGGTCTGATCCATGAAGAGCACAGAGCCTTTGAAAAGATGTGCTGGCAGGACAAGACTCGGCATCCGCACAGCCCGCACAGGGCCCACTTCAGGAGCCTTCTCTACATCCTCACATTTCCCCACTTCCCCCAACCTGTGCACAGGCCCAGTGGGGATCAATCCTTGAACATAATCTCCCACAATCAACAGCCATATCAAATATGTCTGTCATTATCTGGGCGGCCAGCGGAGACCACTCATATCAAGGCCCCGCCCCTCCCCCCGAGGAAGTCTCTGCAACTCCTCTCACTCGTTTGCTGGCTGCCCCCACCTCCCTCTTCTTGCCCATGATGCCTTGCCATCAGACCAGACCACGTGGATCTGTGACCGTCGGTCTTGGGCAAGCTTTAAGGAGCAGGAAAAGAGAGTCCAAGTCTAACTAAATCAGCATAAACATCTGGGGCCTTGGTCACCCTACAGTGACCAGCTCATACTTGAAAATAACAGACAATAAGCTCCTTGAAAGAGAAGAAGGTCTCAGGGAATCATGGGTGGGAACGGGCCAGAGGGCCAAGAACAGGGAATGAGTCCATATCAGAGGACGAAATTGTGCTGCCATCAAGATCAATCCCATCTCTGATGCCCCCTACCCTCGGGGACCTAGGACAAGTCACTTGATATTTCCAGCCCAGCTCAAGCACCTCCCCCAGAAAGCCTTCTCTGACAGCCAGCCTCACAGTCACCCTACACCAGCCTGTAATGTACGTCCTGTGCCCCCACTGTGCAGTGCTTCCCTTCAACCCAGCACTGTCCACTCTGTGTTAGCACCTCTTATCCACATGGCATCATCCACCGCCCCCTGAAACTGTTAACTTCTCAAAGGCGGGAATCTGATCGATCTCCATGCCCCCACCACCCTTCACAGTATGTGACTGCTGGATAAACTATGATCTCCAAGAATCCTCTAAGCTGTAAAACACAAGCCCCTCTGAGGTGGACATCTACTGTTTTGCTTGTCCAGGATCCATTCCTCCTCCTTCTAAGAACAGTTTTCTCTTGCAGAACCATTCCTCTCTTATGTTTAGTCCATGTGAGTTAGGGAGAGCTGACCATATGCCCCAGCCTCCAGGAGAGGACACTCACCCAAGGCAGGTCAATCAGAGCATCCCATGTTTTGGGCATAGTGACTGCCACATTACCAAGCCAGGCTAATGAGACTCAATTCTGGGGACTACGAGGAAAGAGAAACTTTCTTTCTGCTGGAAGGACATAAGCCAGGAGCTGCTGCTGGTCATCCTACCAATCCCATGAGAATAAAGCTGACAGAGAAATGCAGAGCCAAGAGATGGAGACAGAGTTCTGATGACACTGTCTGAGCCTCTGGGATCCCAGCTGTGCCTGAAGCCAGTTTTGACCCCTGGACTTCTCAGTTATGAGACAGTTTGAGTTTCATTTCTGTCACTGAAAGTTTAAAACCAGTCAAACCTCTCTCTAGGCCTTAGTGGGAATACCAGGATCTTGACAGGCAGCCACCCCTTTCTGCTGTCATCCTGGGAGAAGTAGGCTCCACTGCCAGGGTCCCACTCCACAAAGGCCTTACCTGAACCAGGAGGTTCTGCAGTCCGATGACCAGGGACAGCACTTGTGATGTTCCCAGTGGAGCCAGGACAGTGTCCTCAGGGGCTGGCGGTGGCTGGGCCCCTGAGGGCAGCAGAGCAACCAGGGCAGAGGAGAAGCTTTGTTGTAGGGCTGTCCGCAGGAAGCGTAAGATGGCAGCTGAAAGTAGAAAACTCCTTACACCCAGTTCTTGCCTCATTCCCCACCTCCCCACCAGCGCTGTCACAGGTGGAAGACCACGGGGATAATAAAGGGGTGACCACGGACTGGTCTGGGTGGGGTGGTCTCATCTC